TTAAAACAATGACACAAGAGGAAAACAACATTGTCAAGATAAATGCCCTTGAAATAGAAAGATAAAATAGAAAAATCCTGACACACACAAAACAGCAGTGAGTATGAGGAAGAACATGCAAGATATTTGCTTCAAAATGCTACAAACTCCTACTAACAACTCTGTATCACTGACCATTTTACATGCCTTCATTTCATCATGACTTTATTACTGCAACAGTCTTTTTACCTGCTTAACCATAAGTCTATTCATCAACTCCTTTTAAATATCTCCTTTTTTTTCTTTAAAATGTTTTCATGTTTTATCCTACACTAAATTGGTTTTAACTGTTTTTAAAGTGGGGTCCAAAAGTCTGAGACCACTATCCCATTCAATGGAAGGGGAAATTATTGGCACCCTTCACTAATATTTGGTTTCAGAACCTTTGGTTACAATGACTCTAAATGTTTCTTGTAGCTGCTAGAAGCCTCTTGTACCTGTCTGTTGATTTCCGCCATTCTTCCATTAATATGTGTTCAAGGACTTTTTTTCCATTTGCAGGAGCTTCTTTTATAATGGCAGGTTTCAGCTTTCCCCAAAGGTTTTCAATGGGGTTTAGATCAGGACTCATTGCTGTGCATCTTTTCCTTTCCAACCATGCTTTTGTGCTGTTTGGTGTGAAGCTCTGGGTCGTTGTCCTGCTGAACTACCCAAGACTGTCACCTCACATCAAGTTTTCTTACACTGGGTAACACATTTATCTCCAAAATGCCATGTTAATCTTCAGATTTTATTATTGCTTTAATACATTCACTGCCTCCAGTACCAGAGGCAGTAAAGCAGCCTCACAGCATGATGGAGCCTCCACCTCGTTTTACTGTAGGTATGGTGTTTTCCTTGAGCTTCATTTCGTCGCCTATAAACAAACTGATGCACTGCATTCCCAAAGAGCTCTATTTAGTTTCGTCTGTCCATTGAACATTATCCTGGAAAGACTGTGGCTTATCTATGAAACTTTTTGCAAACATTAGTCTTCCCTTTTTGTGCCTTTCTTCCAATAAGATCCTACATGACCTTTCCCATGATGGCGCATGATGCGGGTTAAACCACCACTTCAAGATTGCTCAAGGTCAGCCTCACCAGCCTTGACAGGCTTCTCTCGTTGAGTTTCTACTTAACACCTTAACAGTTTTATAGCTGTGAAACTTCCTGATACAAGCCGTTGAAATGGTTTCAAGATCTCCTATGATTGCCTTGCGGCCTTTGGAATTGTTATGTTTTTTGATAATAGCTTTTCTGATACTCTCAGAAAGCTCTCTGTCTACACCGTTGTGAAAAAGAAACTGGAAACTTTTTGTGCAGTAAAACCATCATTCATTGGTTAATTCAAGTCATACGGACAAACAGGTGTCAGTCTTCTATGTTTTTTAGTTTGTTTGAGGAACAGATATAAATCCCCCAAGAGTGCCAGTAATTGTGTCCAGTACATTTACTTACTACATTTAATGTCTGTATTTTTTATTTTATTATAAGAAAGTGTTTTTGTTGTCATTCAATAATTTTGGACATTTAATTAAATATTTGGATTATTCCAAATTGGTTCATTACCAGCTGTGACAGACTGGCTGGTCAGCCTGAGTGTGTGTTATCATGGTAAAATATGTCCTGCAGTGGGAACTACCACAGAGGCGGTTTTGAGTACTTTGACAGGTGTTTATGTCTCTCTGTCGACAGATATTGTCACCACGATAGTGTCACAACTGTTCAAGATACAGTCACACAAATTTACAGGTGTGCCCATTTAAGTGAATGGAAAGGTGTGTCCAAATATTTTTTATAACACATATATATGAATAAATAAAGGCTATATATTTATATGTATATGGTATGGTACAGATGCTTGTAGCTTTGTGTGGCTTTTAAAAAAAAAATATATATAATTAAATTTAATTGCTGGTGACATTTGTAGCCCAGGTTTGCAGCATTAGGAAAAAGGTTTTACATCAAACGAGGATTAATTGTTGAATCGGCTACAGCAGTGTGACTTTGAGTCCCATTGGACAGCTGTGTCAACTCAGCGAGGGTTGGCTTCCTGGTAACTGTGCAATCACAGCACAGTTAACATCCATAGAAAATATTAACAGATCATCAAAAACACATGAGGGGGAGTGGGGCACATTTCCATGTAATTACTCTTCCATATTACCACTACTAATACTGTATTACTATTCCATAAAAGTACAGAGACCCTCTCCTCTGTGGCAGTTGTCCTTACATCGGTTCACTCCATTAATCAGTTTGCATGATGGCGGTGTCATGTGAGGTGAACGTGCTGCGGCTCATTCTTCGTTTTTGAAGGTTGTAAGAAAATACAGCTACATAAAGACCAACAAATCAAATTTCAGATTACATATGTGATAGAGAGAAAACGAGGGTTTCTCTTTTTTTTTCTAGAGTTATCTTTAATAGCTGTCTAAGTTTTCATAAATAAACAAATCAATATTTCCAATCATGTTTTCAAGAAGATATGATAGTTCATATAAACCTGGTTTGGTGAATGTCCAGGGACAAAGGGAGTCTTTACCTCCTCATCTCTTCACATGAGAAGCTATTGAAGGTTTTTACACAGGTTTGAATGTGTTTTTGAGGAAAGTGCTGTGGAGACAAGGTGGTTAAATATTACATGTTATGTAACAGCGAGAAAAGCAGGGCCACGGACACTGGTGCACACTGGTCGGATGTTGTTTAGGGGAGGAGTCCCCTTTATAGAAGTCTGGCTGACATTTAAGCTGGTTCTGACAGTCTGGTGATGATGGGGAAGCTGGAGATTTTGGTTGCTGTTGCAGTGTTTCTGGAGACGGTCTCTGCAATGTCTGTTAGTGTCACACAAAAACATTTACATCTAGTGTATTAAAAAAAAAGAAAGAAAAAAGACTGTTAAAGTATTCATTTAGTAAAAAATGCTATAATTTCTGCATCTACAGACTTTCTGAAATGCAGGTGCTACTCTTAATTAAGAAAGTAGGATTATTATTTTATTTTTGAGCAATAAATGTCTTTTTTAGACAAACAGTGAAGGAACAGAAGTCTTTGTCTCTTTCATAATATGTTTATAAATTATTACTCCTAAAGAAATTTTTTAATTGCTGTGTTACATGATGGTTTGATTCAAACATATGTATTTTTTCCAAAACATCCCTATTCGTTAATTCAGGTCATGTGGACAAACAGGTGTTGGTCTTATATGTTTATTTGTTTGTTTGAGGAACTAATTTAAATCCGTCAAAAGGCTACCAGTAATTGTGTCCAGTACATTTAATGTCTGTATTTTTTTTTATTTCATTATAAGAAAGTGATTTTTGTTGTTGTTCAGTAACTTTGGGCATTTTATTAAATATTCTAAATTATACAAAATTGGTTAATTATCAGCTGTGACAGAGTGGCTGGTATTGATTCCACCTTGTCAGTCTGAGTACCACAGAGGCCGTTTTGAGTAGTTTGACAGATCTTCATGTCTTTGGAAAGATTGTGTCACAACCGTGAAAGATACAGTCACAGAAATTTACAGGTGTGTAGTTCAGATCAAAATGAAGGCTGACTTTGTAGATTTGTGTGGACAAACCCACGATTCCTGAGTATTCATGTAATAATGTATTAATAACTACTGAATACTCATGGGTTGGGACGTCAACATGGCAGGCATCTCAGCTGGTGTGACCCTATCATATATATACTGTGCCAGTCAAAAGTTTAGACACCCTTGCCCATTGAAGTGAATAGCAAAGTGTGTCCAAACTTTTAACTGGTACTTTATATATATACATATACATATACAGAGACGCAGTATGCATATATGTAGAATTTAATTTAATTGCTGGTTATATTCTGAGGTCCATTCTCAAAGTAATTTCTCTTTCTGTTTTCTTTTCTAAACTTATATAAACTTACTGACGATAGTAAATCATGCAGGTCACATTTTGGAGAGATAGTAATGTCCACTTTAATTTACTGATGTTGTTACTTATTGTAGGCTATAATGAAGGCTATTTGTAATCCAGGTTTGCAGCATTAGGAAAAAGTTTTTACATCAAACGAGGATTAACTGTTGAATCGGCTACAGCAGTGTGACTTTGAGTCCCGTTGGACAGCTGTGTCAACTCAGCGAGGGTTGGCTTCCTGGTAAACAATTGCAAAAGTTGGAAAATCACTTCTCAACTCACATAAACATTTGCCATGTGGACATGTCTGTCTGATTTACTGTGTTTAACTCACTAAATACCTTAAAACAATTTCTATGAATATTCATATATTACTATAACTGAAAACTCTTCCTAACTGTGCAATCACAGCACAGTTAACATCCATAGAAAATATTAACAGATCATCAAAAACACATGAGGGGGAGTGGGGCACATTTCCATGTAATTACTCTTCCATATTACCACTACTAATACTGTATTACTATTCCATAAAAGTACAGAGACCCTCTCCTCTGTGGCAGTTGTCCTTACATCGGTTCACTCCATTAATCAGTTTGCATGATGGCGGTGTCATGTGAGGTGAACGTGCTGCGGCTCATTCTTCGTTTTTGAAGGTTGTAAGAAAATACAGCTACATAAAGACCAACAAATCAAATTTCAGATTACATATGTGATAGAGAGAAAACGAGGGTTTCTCTTTTTTTTTCTAGAGTTATCTTTAATAGCTGTCTAAGTTTTCATAAATAAACAAATCAATATTTCCAATCATGTTTTCAAGAAGATATGATAGTTCATATAAACCTGGTTTGGTGAATGTCCAGGGACAAAGGGAGTCTTTACCTCCTCATCTCTTCAAATGAGAAGCTATTGAAGGTTTTTATACAGGTTTGAATGTGTTTTTAATGTAATCAACAGTAAGTATTGAGGAAAGTGCTGCGGAGACAAGGTGGTTATATATTACGTGTTATATAAAAGTGAAAAATGCAGGCCCACAGACACTGGTGCAGACTGATCAGATGTTGTTTAGGGGAGGAGTTGACTTTATAAAAGTCTGGCCGACATTCAAGCTGGTTCTGACAGTCTAGTCATGATGGGGAAGCTGGGGATTTTGGTTGCTGTTGTGGTGTTTCTGGAGACGGTCTCTGCGACCTCTGTAAGTGTCACACGTATACAAAAATTCTTTCTGCATTTACAGACTTTCTGAAATGAACTCTTAATGAAGAAAGTATAATTCTTATTTCTAATTTTGAGCGATAAATTACTTTGATAGAAAGATAGGAACAGAAGTTTGATTCAAACATATTTATTTTCTCCAAAACATCCCAAATGGAAACTGAGAAATCAAACCTGAATGCAACATGCCGGTCTTTTTCATTCAAAATTTTTGGTGGACTACCACATCAAGTTTTTTGATGTCTGTTTAATTTCTGTAGCTTGGGGTGGTTTACACCGAGGGAGGGATGGTGCAGGGCGAGAACATTCGTCTTGGGTTCCGTCGCCACATGGACGTCTTCAGGGGGATTCCCTTTGCTGACATCCCTGGAAGGTTTGAGAAACCAAAGCGTCACCCTGGCTGGGATGGTGGGTAGACTGATCTTTTCACCCACTGGATTTTACATTTAAACTCATATTAATAAAGTTTTCTTGCTCAAGAATTCACAGCAAAATGTTTTATTTTTGCTCATCCAGTCAATTTTGTTCATTATTGTTTTAGTCAGAGCATGTTATCTGAGTCTAATTGTTATATCCATAGAGGTTATTTAGAATCAGCTAAAGGCTTAAACTGTATGATGAAATTTGTCATGAAAACATGAATAATTTTCAAAACTCTTATGCTGCTCTTACACTGCGTTTCATTCATCAGGTGTCCTGAAGGCCACTGAGTTCAGGAAGAGATGCATTCAGGTGAACGTTCTCATGACTGACACCAGAGGAAGTGAGGACTGTCTTTACCTTAACATCTGGGTTCCTCATGGCCGCTCAGGTAAACATTGACAGAAGCTCATAAAATATGATCCGCAATAGATCAATACCACAACTGGATCTAATCTCTCTCTCTGTCTCTAGTTTCCACAGATCTGCCCGTTATGGTCTGGATCTATGGAGGAGGCTACCTGGCAGGAGGATCGATGGGTGCAAACTTCTTGAACAACTATCTGTACAGCGGGCAGGAGATTGCAGACAGAGGAGATGTTATTGTGGTGACTCTGGGCTATCGTGTGGGAACTCTTGGCTTCCTAAGCACTGGAGACTCTAGTTTGCCTGGTAGATGCCACTTTATTCTTCCACAGCAGTGACAGAATTGTAAAAATTCTAGTGGATGGTGACTGGGAAAATTTTGTAAATTGTTCCATCTTCTTGTCAGGAAATTACGGTATGTGGGACCAGCATGCAGCCATCGCCTGGGTGCACAGGAACATTCGCTCTTTTGGAGGAGATCCTGACAATATGACCATCTTTGGAGAGTCTGCAGGTGGAGCTAGTGTTAGTTTCCAGGTGAGAAGCTTTTTTTTTTCTGGACATTTAGCTTACTGTGTGCATTGAAGCAGAAACACCTGAGAGGCTGAGTGAATTATCGAAACATAGATGATAAAATGCAGAATTTGTACATATGAGTCTAACCTCATTTAAAGAATGCACTAAAACATCTGATTTTCTGTCTGTCTGCCCACAGACACTCACTCCTCACAACAGAGGGCTGTTCAAGAGAGCCATCTCCCAGAGTGGAGTCGCCCTTTGCCCATGGGGCGTAAACAGGAACCCCCGCAGGTTCGCTGAGGAGGTACATCAGAGCTTCTCTGAAAAGTTTGTTTCTTCCATGCAACTTTGAACCTTCTTTTTAGAAGTGTTCATTGGCATTTAAAGGTGGACATTTATCTTTGGGCCTGGAAAACAATTAAGGATGACTTGAACCCTCTTCCCAGGTTGCACTGAAGGTCAACTGCCCCACCAATGAAAATATGGTCGCCTGTTTGAAGATGACTGATCCTGCGCTCCTAACGTTGGCCGGCTCTCTCAAACTGTCCAGCTCACCCGATTGTAAGGACTACACTCTACACAAGTGAAAATAGACAACTTTCCCCTCATATAGAAGAATATAGTACTTTTCACCATTGCTCACCACTTTTAAAAGGCCAGTGCCATGAAACACGTTATTTGTTTAAACAGACGATTAATTGTTTGTTTCTGGCTGCTAGAGGTTAGGGTTAGCAACATGGCTATCACTATCAGTCTGGTCACACTCCAAAGCGAGAAACAACCATAAGAATCCCAGTTTGTACTAGAAACTGCAGTCTCTATGCTATGATAGAGGCATAAAACACCCTGTTGTATTAATAAGTAGGAAGGTTTTGTCATTTACTCATCTAGTAGATATTATGCCAACTGAAAGGAAGTTTTGAACCTTGTCAAGTCCTGGAGTTCTCTCAACAGTCAAACTGGCCATAGGAACTATCTATACAAAGCTCAACAGTAAGGAAAAAAACCCTCAAAGTTTGTCCCAGTGAAAATGTCTTGGGCTGAATTTACAACATTTACTTTATAATGATAAAAAAAACACAACAAAGAAGTTGTCTATTGTCACTTAAAGAGTCTGATTTTATCTGCCTCTGTTAGACCCCCTCGTACACAACCTGGCCCTGTCTCCTGTGATCGATGGCGACTTCCTGCCTGATGAGCCTTACAACCTTTTCCACAATGCTGCTGATGTGGACTACATCGCTGGAGTCAACGACATGGATGGACACATCTTCACTGGTTTAGATGTTCCTTCAATCAACTCCCCTCTGGTGGACACCTCTATGTGAGTTCAAACCTTTTGATCAGTGTGAAACATTGACAGTTCAATCGATTTACCCAGAGCAACAAACCTTTGTGAGAACTGTGGAGCATAAACATTTTTGGCGGCAGAGAGGTGTTTTATCAGGCTTAACTTTCAAACCTTCTCTTCCGAATGCAGTGACGATCTGAAGAGGCTTCTGCGATCCTACACTAAGGAGAAGGGCCAGGCTGGTTTGGACCATGCCTTCTCCACATACACCTCAACCTGGGGATCAAATCCCAACAGGGAGACTATCAAAAAAACTGTGGTGGAGATTGGAACAGACTACATCTTCTTGGTTCCAACACAGGCTGCCCTCTACCTTCATGCTGCCAACGCCACGTGAGAGCAGAATCTTACAATAGAGCTATAGTTGTCAGTATATATATATATATATATATATATATGCCCTTTCATTCCCCACATTGCTTTAGAAGGGGAATAAAAATTAGCTAAATTAGCTAGAAGTCTATCATTTTTACCAAACTCCTGTAATGGCCCTGGTTTGGGATTTCATAAGAGAAGATTTAATAAGAATTCAGATTTTAGGTTTTTTACTCATCTTTCTCTTTGTTATTGACACATCCCCATACTTTTCTTCTTTCACCAAAGAACTGGTCGTACGTACTCCTACCTGTTCTCTCAGCCCAACCGTATGGGCGGCATTGGCAGGCCCTACCCCAGCTGGATGGGAGCCGACCACGCTGATGACCTGCAATATGTGTTTGGAAAGCCTTTCGTCACACCACTGGCATACTGGCCTCGCCACCGTGATGTCTCTGGCTACATAATCGCCTACTGGACCAACTTCGCCAAAACTGGGTATAATTCTGCACAAGGCATAGAGCATTGCAGACATCAAATAAACTTCAATCAAAGACTGAAATAGAAAACAAAACCTGTTTTTTGCTTATGCCCACAGAGATCCCAACAAAGGAGGACTGCGTGTGCCCGTTACCTGGCCCAAATTCACCAGCACTGGACACCAGTACCTGGAGATCAATTCTAAAATGGACAAGAACTATGTCAGACAGAAGATGAGAATGCGTTATGTGCATTTCTGGACCAGCGTCCTGCCCAACTTACCTATAAACTTCTCAGAATAAAGAGCTTTTGCAATCACCTGTGCACCTGCACTTTGGACATGCAGGTCTAAAGTATCACGTCAGTATTGGTTCATGAAAAATAAATTGGTGATGAATAAGTATTGTATTTTTTTTGGTTTTATTTATTAATGTGTTGTGCCTCTATAAATTTACAATAAACCTGAATAGTGCCAAACAAATAGAATTTGTATGTAAAGCACATGAGTTACTTTGAGCATTTTTAGGTCAGCAATGATGACAGATGGTACTGCTACTACTGTGATGTAATTTAATTTCTCAGTGGTGTGTTAACTTTATAATGCAAAATAAACAAAATCAAAACAGACAGAAAAAAAATTATGACATTGATGTACTTTATTAGTTCGATTAAACTTTGCTGCCACTTTGTTACCAGTCTATCTGAATTAGCTAACATATAGTTAGCTTAATCAATTAATTCATGTTTGTATAAAATGGAAAAAGGTGCTATAATATAGGAAATTAAGACAAGGCCAAGTCAATAATTTCCACATTCAAATTAAGAGTCCATTGTTTTCCTGTGTCGGGATACAAAAGAAATTGACACGTTTCAAACAAAGCTTTTAGAAGTTATTACCACTGCTAAAACACAGATGTTTGCCACAGAAACAACCGAAATGTTTTTGTTTATTTAACCCAAGACAAATAATTGAAACAATCAAGAATATTAAATGAAGACCGTGACGAGCTATTTTAGGTGACAGAGCTAATGTTGGCAAGATGCCTAGCTAAGTAAGCTAACTTATTAGCCACTATTTGTCATGCTCCCACCATTGGTTTACTATTTCCTACTATTTCTTCTGTTGTCATAAAGAATAGGGAACTAAAGACTAGTGTAGGTTAAATAAATGGATTAGGAAAACCAGATAACAACCATACAATTTTAAAAAGTCAGCATAGTCAGACTGAGCTCTGTCTACTGACATTGCTATTACCCCTTCAAAAAGAAAACAAGGTCCTATTTGTATTTGTGAATATATTGTATGCAGTTTAATATATCCTATGCAGTGATTTAGATCTTTTGACTGCAACAAGATTACTAACCTCACCAACCATACTTCCTGATTTATGTATTAAGAAACCCACGGGTTAATTTTTTTGTCTTGGCTTTTTTTAAATGACAAATTACATTTTTGTAATATTTTTTCATACTGGTAGAGCTATTTTTTTTTTTAAAGTGCTGCGGATATAAGGCACATATATATTATATACATATATAAGGTAAGAGGCACCAAGTGTGATATATTTTTGCAAAAAACGACATTAACTACCATGTGTAACGTTTAAGCATCGCTCAACTAACTGGTTGTGGTTGTAGCTTGCTGGCTACCCTGCTAATGATAGCTAATCACATCAGTTTCTAAAACACTGAATGTTACCAAATTTTAATTTTGTGTGGCTAGCCATCCCTTGGGTGGTGGACATAAAGCTAATGTTATCTTCCTAATTAAATTGACTTTGTTTGTCTTTCTTTTTAGCTGACTATTTCTTCTCTCTCTGCTTACTTTTTTTTTCAGATGTTGATACGGTTGATAGTGGGCTCACATCTTTCAAGTAGCCGGTAAAATTTGATGTGTAAGCTAAAAGAGCAGATGATAACTGATTTTAGAGTATGTGCCTCCAGAGGAATGGCAACACCTATTTTTCAGTTACATTAAAAATAAGTGTTTGTAACATGATTTCAGAGCATCTTCCAAAATTATGTTTCACCTTGGCATGAGTGACCAACTTGAAGCTAGAGAGTACAGCTATCATAATTTTTATTGTAGGCCTAGTTGTTATTGCCTTGATAAAAGTTAATATTTAGGGCTGACATTGCTGTTCTACAGAATATTTTTGTGACTGAAATATACAACTTCTGCATTTCTGATTATACTAGAAAAGGAGGACAATGTCTGGTGATAATTGAGGACATTTTGAGTCCTGACTGACTGACTGGAAAACGTGGAGTCATGGTAAGCAATATTTCTTTCAAGGTATGCATCAGAAAACGACATGTACTTCTGCATGTTTCACATGATGAATGTCCAAAAACCACATGTGCCCCGAATGCTTCACATGTGAGACGTCTGAATACTATGTGTCCCTGGATGTATCACATCTGAAACATCCGAAAACCACATGACCCTGGATGTTTCAGAACATCCCGGTTTTGATTCAACTTTTTTAATAAATCAATGCAGGGGTGACAAGTGTGTGCAAGTATTAACTTTTTCTTAAAAGATTTTTTTTTAACTTGATTCACTGCACCACAAAAGAGATCAAGCAAGTGGTGTGCATGTGGCCTTTTACTCATCAGTATTTCAGTTTAAAACATTAAAAAAAATTAATTAAGCTTATCAACAGAATGTGAAGAAATAACAGTTTTGATGCTATGTCAAAGAAATCTACGTATTGTGTTGCAAATATCTACTGAAGTTAGCATGCTAATGAGTTAGCCTAGCCTAGCCATCTCATAAAACCATTTTTTGATAATAGCATTTCTGATGCTCGCGCACAACTCTCTTGTCTTCGCCACTATGAAAAAGAAAATTGAAGTAATCATCCCCTTTTTGTGCAGTGAAACCATCATTCATTGGTTAATTCAGGTCATGTGGACAGACGAACTGATATAAATCTATCAAAAGAGTGCCAGTAATTGTGTCCAGTCCATTTACTCCCTACTTTTCTCTGTATTTTTTATTTCACGATAAGGAAGTGTTTTTTGTTGTTGTTAAATAACTTTGGACATTTATTAAATATTCTGATTATAACAAATTGGTTAATTACCAGCCATGACAGAGTGGCTGGTATTGATTTCACCATGTCAGTCTGTGAATGTGTGTTATCATGGTAAAATATGTCCTTTAGTGGGAACTACCACAGAGGCAATTTTGAGTACTTTGACAGGTGTTTATGTCTGTCTGTCGACAGATTGTGTCACCAAGATAGTGTCAAAACTGCAGTCACAAAACCTTACAGGTATGTTGTTCAGATCAAAATGAAGGCTGAATTTGATGGTTGGGGACCAACTTATGAATCCTGAGTATTCAGGTAATAATGTAGTAATAACTATAGAGTACTCATGTGTCGGAATGACAACATGTTGACAGGCGTCATGTCTGGTCTGATCCCATATGTATATACACACTCATATATATATATGTGTGTGTGTGTGTGTGTGTGTGTGTGTGTAGCTCATTCTTCATTTTTGATGTGTGTAAGAAAATACAGCTACATAAAAACCAACAAATCAAATTTCTGATTACATATGTGATAAAGAGAAGACGAGGGTTCGTCTTTATCTGGAGTTATCTATTATAGTTGTCTTAGTTCACAAATTTACATTTCCAGTCATGTTTTCAAGAAGATAGAATAGTTCATATAAACCTGGTTTGGTGAATGTCCTAGGACAAAGGGAGTTTATCAATTGGTTATTTCACTTCCAATTACATTTTGGCTCTGATAAGCCCTAACACTTTCAAGTCTGTCACTTCATCATCATGCTCAACCATCAAGGTCCAGTGAAAACTCGTCATCTCTTCAAATGAGCAGCTATAGAAATACAGGTTTGAATGTGTTTTTGAGGAAAGTGCTGTGGAGACAAGGTGGTTAAATATTACATGTTATGTAACAGCGAGAAAAGCAGGGCCACGGACACTGGTGCACACTGGTCGGATGTTGTTTAGGGGAGGAGTCCCCTTTATAAAAGTCTGGCCAACATCCAAGCTGATTCTCACAGTCAGGTCATGATGGGGAAGCTGGGAATTTTGGTTGCTGTTGCAGTGTTTCTGGAGACGGTCTCTGCGACCTCTGTAAGTGTCAAACAAAAATGTACTCCTAGTGTATCAAAAATCAGTTAAAGTATTCAGTATGTAAAAAATGCTATAATTTCTGCATCTACAGACTTTCTGAAATGCAGGTGCTACTCCTGATTAAGAAAGTAGGATTAGTATTTCTAATTTTAAGCAATAAATATCTTTGTTAGATAAATGCTGTAGAAACAGATGTCTAGACATCTCTGTCACTACATATTAAAAATTATTAATTGTAAATTCATTCTTTGAATTGCTATGTTACATGATTGTTTGATTCAAACCAGTGTTTTTCCAAAATATCCCAAATGGAAACTGAGAAATCAGATCTGAATGCAACATGCCAAACACCGTAGGTGTAGTCATATTTTAAAGAAAGACTTTTATTCTAAATTCTTGGTGGACTACCACATCAAGTTTATTTTTTTTATGTGTCTGTTTAATTTCTGTAGCTTGGGGTGGTTTACACCGAGGGAGGGATGGTGCAGGGCGAGAACATTCGTCTTGGGTTCCGTCGCCACATGGACGTCTTCAGGGGGATTCCCTTTGCTGACATCCCTGGAAGGTTTGAGAAACCAAAGCGTCACCCTGGCTGGGATGGTGGGTAGACTGATCTTTTCACCCACTGGATTTTACAGTCAAAATGATATTAATAATGTTTTGTTGCTCAAGAATTCACAGTACAAAAAATATATTTTAGCAACAAGAGCCATAACAAACTTTCTCTTTTAATTTCATTGAATAAAGATTTTTAGTATGATACTCTTACACTGTGTTTCTTTCATCAGGTGTCCTGAAGGCCACTGAGTACAGGAAGAGATGCCTTCAGGTGAACACTATCATGACTGACACCAGAGGAAGTGAGGACTGTCTTTACCTTAACATCTGGGTTCCTCATGGCCGCTCAGGTAAACATTGACAGAAGCCCACATCCGCAATAGATCAATACCACAACTGGATCTAATCTCTCTCTCTGTCTCTAGTTTCCACAGATCTGCCCGTCATGGTCTGGATCTATGGAGGAGGCTTCCTGGCAGGAGGATCGATGGGTGCAAACTTCTTGGACAACTATCTGTACAGCGGGCAGGAGATTGCAGACAGAGGAGATGTTATTGTGGTGACTCTGGGCTATCGTGTGGGAACTCTTGGCTTCCTAAGCACTGGAGACTCTAGTTTGCCTGGTAGATGCCACTTTATTCTTCCACAGCAGTGACAGAATTGTAAAAATCCTTGTGGATGGTGACTGGGAAAATTTTGTAAATTGTTCCATCTTCTTGTCAGGAAATTACGGTAT